GATTCGGCACTCTCCGCGTTATGTATATCTTTCACTTTCAGGAGTTATAAAAAGCGAGGAAAACTTCTAATCTACGTGTGAGAATCGAATGCAAAGTCCCGATCGCGTACTACGTGACTCGCACCGCTCGCACGACCGGCACGACACATTTGAACGAGCAAATTAACTGTCGTAATCATCCACGCAACACGTTAATGTACGATAGATATGGCAAGTGAGACTCGGCACTCTTGATATGTAATGTCTATCACATTCACCCTTGTTCACGAATGTAAGATGCGAGAGAAACGGGGTAATGTGAGACTTCGATACGCACCGAGACGCTCCGACGGACGATCGCACAGGTATGCCAGGTATTCGGAAATGGAGCCGAGGCTCACGAGTGGTGGGAACCGAGTGGGGGGAAAATAACTAGACACGTCGAACGCGCGCCGCGCATTGTTGCCTACGGTCACTCTACCCCCACTCCATCCCCACTCTTGTTGACGAGAGTCGCGAGCCGTTCCGTTGTAAACGTTTGTAATCCGGCGATCCGCGGCGACACATCTATGCCTCTATATGCTCTCAGTGCTTAAAGGATATAATATTCCGTGATCGCGCGTTGCATTAACATTGTCGGACGTAATTATCTATCGACCTCGATCACATATACGCTGCCGATTAATTAATCGCCGCTATTCGAAAGCATTCGGAAAAATTTATCGCGTGTCGCGCGGCACGGCAGCGTATCGTGAATACCAATTGAACGCAACCGCCGCTCCGCCCGTATTGAAAAATCGGAATAAAGAAGCGAAATGCGAAAATAAAATCGCACGTGTGTTAAACGGGATTAAATTGAATCTCAAATAAACTCCCGGCCGGGAATGATTAGTCGAATCGACGTCGATTTGATATCGATGCGTCGATGAATGGTCGTCGAATATTTGTTGATATTTTTGTCAATTTTTGATCTCATTATAATTGTTCTTATGCTATTATTGTCTTTTGCTTCCCTCCCAGTTCTACATCGAATATACTGTGCTTTTCGATTTTGCATCAATTCGATACAAAATTGTTCGAAAGACAATAAAAATCTTCATAGAAATATTCATAATTACACGCAATTAACATAAAAATAACTTGGACGTTGAAAATGACGAAAACCGTGGGTTCGATTCTCGAATTTATTCGCGAGAGAAACGTATGCGCAAATTCTGTTTTTACAGGAACGTTGCAAGTTTATTGGCTAAAAGCACGGGCTAAAAGTCATGCGATAGCCAATCGACTTGCAACTTTTCTGTAAGAGCAGAATTTGCGCATACGTTTCTTTTAATAAATTCAAGAATCGAGCCCCAGAGACTCGACATCGACTGTTCATCGACGCATTGACACCAAAAATCGACTTGGGCTATTATCAAATGTCTAATTTCGAAGAATATCAATTTGTGATATGCTACAAGCGCGTAATATGCTAAAAATGTACGTTATACTTTGATTTGCGTGCCTATATCAGCACGAAGACCACGAGATTTCTACGATATCGAAATTTGAATTCAATTAAACTATAACGGTTAAACGTATTATTTGAAAATGTCGCGTGATCGACGTAACGTCCGTTGTCGAGTAATAGCCCTGTTATTTCGCGCCGTAATCGAGAAACGGAGTAAAAACGCCTAGCTGCATTTCGCTCTTCATGGAAATCGTGTACGTAATTAAAAATGCTCGCACGTGTTAAACCGTCGCGTGTCGTCTCGTATCAAAGTATATTGTCATTAATTATCTCTCTAAATCTCATCGTTTAATTTCGCACCGCGTCGATTAGAAATCGAGCTGAAGTTGCCGTCCTCCCGCGTTATTCATAGAAATCGCTCCGAGATCTCGGACGGAGAAGGAATTAACCAATCGTATTGGTCAATTGCCGAAATATGATTGGTCAATTTTTTCTCCGTCCGAGATCTCGGGGCGATTTCTAGTATCGTGGAGTCAATGCCGGGCATATTGTATGATCGCCACGATCGAAATTGCATATACTTACTTATATTCGTATCTCGCGCAGACGTCCGCGTTTCTCGCGTTTAACAAACATTTCTCTCTCGGCGGTAAATCCGGCGTGCAAGTCAAATTGCGTATCGAACCATCGTTGATTACCGACGACGGTTCGTTCGATTCGCGTTCAGAGTGTCGAAAGGGATAAGTACGAAACGGCGTGAACTGCGTGAAGTCGCTCGATGATCGTCGTCAACTTCGCGTCGCTCCGGTCGCTCGTCGTCAGTGTCGAGTGTCGTCACATCGATGAGCGACGCCGCGGTACGCTATGTCTTTACCGTGTCGCGTGGCGTTTCGGAATAATACGATAAGCGGACCTCTCCCCCTTCTTCTCGCGCACGCCGGCCAACGTCTCGCGAGTATAAACAAACAACCGGCGCGCCTAATCGTACACATCGAGGCGGGAGTCACTCAAGCGTGAAAGTGTCATGTGAATACTGTGAATTGCCGTCGCGTCACGTCGCGTTGGGAAGGTTCGCGCGCGGCCGAATTTCGGGCTTTTCTATATATAGCGTCTTGCGTTGTACGTACAATATGTACGTACGTACATAGACGGGAGGATGAGTGCGAGGCGTAGACGTATCTCGGGAGTGTCGAATCGTGTTAATCATGTGTCGCGCGTATCGCTCGAGTCGTGGAGAAGGGTCGAGAAAATTGTCGTGCGATCGTGGCGATCGGAGTATTCGGACCGTTAACGAGCACGGCGGCGGCCGCGACATGGAGTAAGATGGCGCCGAGGGGCGAGGAGTTTGGCGTTTTGCAGTCGCGGCGCCTTCGAGAGAGAGAGAGAGAGCGAACCTTGCTCTCTCTCGAGAGAGTCCAGATCCCTGCTCCGCTGCTGAAGCATCGTCGAACGAGGAAAGAGGAAGAGAGCGTTCGAGGTAAGATAACGCGAAGCGAAGTATTTATCGGTTAACTTATCGTCTCGAACGGCGGGGGATGGTGGGAGATATCGCCGAGGGGGGATTGCGCAAACATTTCCCGGGGGCACGCGAATGAGCACCGGGGTATCTAAACACGATGAGTGGAATTATGCGCAAACATCTCGTACGACAACACCGTCGAGCGCGCAACGTCTAAGTATTCGGGAGAGTGGAAAGAGTTAACGTTCTCGCGAAAGTATCAATATGCATAAGGGCCCTGATGCTGCCTTGAGTCACCCCCCCCCCCCCCCCCTAGTAGATAGACGTAACGAGTCATGAATTATGAATCGCGTTTTGGCGGGGAACACGGGTGTTTTCTCCGTTTCCTCGTGGCGATCCTGTCCTGAGTCGAGGACGAAAGTGAGCCCGGGTATCGAAAATTGATGAATATTTAGTCGCGATTATATTGCCGCGATCAAATATTTCCTTTTGCAAAGGGTAATTGAAGATCTTCGGGCCGCCTCTCGGATTTGGCGCCGGAAGGCTTAATCGTGAGCCATTTCGATTCTCGTCTATTACGGATTCGGGCCGCTGCTACGTGATAACGCAATAATGAAACAATAGACGAGATAAGGAACGACATCGCTCTGTAAAAATGTATCGCGGTGGAAACGTTGACCGATATTCCCCTTCGGCCTTTCAGAAGCCTTTATTCGAGCGACTGTCGCTCTGATATTCAGATGTCGTTAACATCCACAACGTAAATATATACGTTAATGCAACGTAACGATAATATCATACTAAGGTTTTAATATTTTATGCGCTTTAATTGGTAACGAATGCGTTCTAGCGACGAGTGCGTCGTAACATTTTTAAACTCGATCGCGATATGCAGAATATTTCCATGAAAATTTCCACGGAACACGTTTCCCCCCCCCCCCTGTTCTTCGGACATAAAAACAAGGTAAATGGTTAAGAACAAATATAACTGTTAATTAAATACAGTGAAAACAAAAAATCACAAGTTATTGGACCTTTTATAGGATGTGATAATATTGATCTCATCAATTTTTTAAATCGGAATATTTGTCAGTTTTTTATAAAGCTTTAAATCTCGTTTCCTGCAACTGATACATTCAGTCAATAATGCAACCAATATTGTACAACATGGTATAATAGTTAAAATTATGTTATTATTTAGATATTATAAATTTATCCCCAATTAACTAACACATTCTTTTTTCTCCTTCTCTCTCTCTTTCTCTCTCTCTCTCTCTCTCTCTCTTTCTCTGTTTCACTCATAGTCGATAATAAATAATCAGCAATTTAATAACATTTGGATTAAATTAATTTTCTTATTATATTTTTTTCTTAATTCTATTAATATTTTGATCAATCGTTTTGTCACTCGACTCATTGAATTCGTTGATGCCATTTATCGGTATACGAGTTCTCCGTTTTGACATTCACTCTATCGATAACTTAATTTATTATATCAGTAGCTAGTAAAAAGAAAGTTTTATTCTTTGTTGTTAATACAAATCTGAACGAGCCATTTTAGGAAATGTCAAATTCTGGAGACAATAAATATCCAATAAATTTGTATTACTATATACGACATGTCCATTTAGATTAAAGTTTCTTGAAATGCATTAAGCTTTTAGCATTCGGTAACTAAAACAAAGTTTCCTCTATGAGGAAGCAAAAATTATATTCACTAATATAAACAATGACAAATATATCAAGTTGAAATTATTGAAAATAATTAGTATAATGATACAATATTATAAATGTGATTTAAAAGAAATGAGGCGTTAACACTCACGGATAGGGCTGATTCTATCCAACGTGAACTTATGCTCTTTATACAGTTTTACGAATCTAATAATAAGTAAAAGAGCAGTTTATAGTTAAACGTTGGCGAGAATTATTCGATGTTGGTAGAATCGTATCGATGCGAGAATTCTACGTTATCAGCCTGGTCTATTCTTGAAGTAATCCGTGCCAGAGGACGCCCAGCTCCGGGCTCCGGGTCGTTCGGGGAGAATCGCGGAGCGCAGGAGCACGAACGTCGTCCTCCGGGTTGCCGTCCGGCAGGAGTTCAGTCGGTGCCGGTCGGTCCCGAGAGTCGTTCACACCTTGCGGGACGCAAAAATCTAAGATGGCAAGAGACATGTACATTTGATAGGGTGGTCCGCTCGACAAGAGAGAAAGCCAATTCGGTTTTAGCATAACGCACGATAATGAGCGAGTGAAAACGGGGAAAAAAGAGAAAAAGAGAGAGAGAGAGAGAAAAAGAGTAGGAGAGCGAGAGAAAGCGAGGGTCGCGATGAACGGGTAGATATCGGTGCAAAATCATCAGTCGCGCATCTTCCGAGCGGGTGAGAGGGGTGCGATACTACCCTCTTCTCGCACGGTACGCATAATCGCTGAGAGAAGAGTGGCGGATCGAGAGTGGACTACTAGTCGTGCTGTGACGGAAGTTAGGCGCTCTCAGCGGTATGCCCGTGACGAGTTGTAACGCGAGATAAAGGTGAGCGATTAATATTAAATTCCCGCGCCTGTTTACCGAGGTATTCGGTATACCAAGGAAACTCAATTCCGTAAAAAATTAGTTCCGACTCTTGCTGAAGAAATGAGAAATTTGTCGGTCGCACTCGTTGGCCTGGTGTCAAATTAGTTGCGTTATAGAGAAGATAAGGAACACACAGTGGAGAATTAAGGATTGATTTAATTAGCAAAATTAGAAGTAGAAATTTTCTTTTTCAGAGAGAAAAATATTCGGATATAAAATAGAGAGAAAATCGTGCTTAATTGCTAAAATTTTTTCTAGTGTTAATCTCGTAGAACTATTATTTTTTGTTTGAACGACAGTAGGAATTCTAAAGGATTTTTTTTTGCCAAAATCAGCGCTACAATGGTGCGTTAAGATATTGGCGAATGTAAAATTTATAGAAAATTTTATTGCAGTTGATGGATTGTAATTAATTAGTATTTTAAAATAATTGTTGTATGTAAATAGTGATACGTGAAATAAATTAGATTAATTAGATGATAAAAAGATAAGGAAGAGTGAAGAACGTCATACAGATTATTAAGTTGCGAAAACGATTGCGAAAACAGAGACAGATGTCATAGTAAGTCTGTGAGTTTCGAATAAGAAAATAATAAAGATAAAGTTTGAAGTATTGGTGAAAAAGGTTGTCCTTTAGTAGATTTTAACTTCCAACATGAATGGAGAAATGAGGAACGAGAGGAATACTTTTCTCGATAAACTCGAGGCACAATGAATTCTTACAATTGAAAACGGTTGTAACTTTTATCTTATAATTTATTAAAACGGATGAGATTTTTATTCGGATTGATAAAATTAAAATTTTTTCGAATAAATGCGAGCAATTATGTACTTGTTGGAGTATCATAAATAAAATGCTATTATAGCAGAAGCTAGATGATGATTAATCGATATTTATTAAACTTGAGATGTAGACGAGGTTACATGCAATTTTAATATTTTCGCAAGGAAGATAGCATATACGCGCACACTAGAATATATGATAATTAAAATAACGTAATGCATAACATGATTACAATTATATATTTTCATACATAACACAAGAAAAATTCTGAATAACGCAAAAATTTTAGTTAAAATTAAATGCGTCGCAAGATTTTTTTGCGACGCATTCTTATTATAGATACGCGAAAGAATATTGCAAGAATGCTTTAGAATTTATTGTGAAAGGAACCCAGAAATCGAGTACTTATCTATATGCGCATATTTTGTAACATTATACACGTTTGATGACAAGCTATTCGCTTGAGATGGCATAACTTTGTTTTGGAATTTTATGTATAAAAGAGCAATATACATACATACATATATGCAAAATACATATCATTGTCTATATATAGATGTGTCATACGTATGTAGTATATGCATGGGACAAGGACATGTATTTTGCATAAGAATAGACAATATCGCAAAAGACCGTTTATTACGAGCTCGCCAGAGTATAAGTATGATAATATGGTAGTCTCGCGAATTTTGTTTACAATTCCTAACGTTTAACACGAATCTTCCGTGACTTTATATCTAGGGTTTTCGCGCTAGTATCGAGGAAAGGAAAGGATTGAAGAGGATCAGCATACCTGATTTATTGGTTCTCGCAAGAGAACCTAGTCTCAGTATTATCAAATTCGACTTAGCGACACACTCAGGGCTTTGTTCTCTGATTTATCAGCACGGGAATTAAGTTTAACGGGCCAGTTATCTTGTGGATGTGCAGAATTCTTAACGTTCTCTCGTGAAAGTAATTTAGGAAAATCCAATTAATTTTTCAATGGTAAAATATCAACATATATGTATATGTCTTTCATTTCACAGACAGTGTTAATCTCTTTCCATCGATAATAATCGTCTTACTTGCACCAATCACGTATATAATACATAATTTTAATTTGAGGAGCAATTTTATTAAAGAGAAAGTTGCATGCATATACATACAACATGCACACACACACACACACATATTGCTTTATATTTTATAATTACTACTGTACATGTATTATTTAATTGTAATTCTTTCGGATATTTTCTTTTACAAAAGAAAACAGTGCCGAAAAAGAAACATGGGGTCTGTTTTTTATTGCTGAACTGGCTGCACTAGTTCAGAGTTTATCTTTTTCCTTCCTATACGTGGAGTATAAAGAAGATAAACTCTGAACTAGTGCAGCCAGTTTAGCAATAGAAAACGGACTCATGATTAAATCAAGAAAGGTGTAGGTTATCGACACAAGTCAATAATCTGACAGTCAATAACTCCAAAGCGCTATGAATGTTACATTTCTTCGATTCTTCGGTGTTTGCCCTTCTATCGTTCCGCTTCCGGAATTTGCTCCTTCAATTCCAGCTCGCGACCATAACGTAAATTAGACCAACTGGTCGGTCTATCGCGCGAAAAGTTCCGCGCCGCGTGCGACGAACGCGTCGCCGAGAGGAAATTGTTGGATTCAGCCGGAAATTGCGAAATTCTCCGATAGCAGCGATCTCCATCAGGCTCGGTCGCGGCTCTTACGCGCTGTTCCTGTCTTTCCTTTCCTCAGTACGCATCGCATGGATCGTTCTGTAGCGACGATTTCATCTCGCGATTACGTCGTTTCGCTCCTCGACCGGTTTAATGAAGGCTCCGTCGATACCTTTCACAGAGATATCGAATCTTCAAAGAGCCAGTCTCCGATCCCTTATCAGCGTCCTCCGGACGCACCAGCGAGATTATGGCAGGCAGGATTGGAAAATCCTCTTCGCGGAGATAAGTCGAAAAGGAAGGAGAACTTCGACCTCAGGTCGCGCGTTTGCTCGCGTTATAGTGTGGCACATGATACGGACGTATAGCTGGTTTTTGATAAGCTTGTCGAGGTCAAGATATTTTTACGACACATTCGAATGCAGGGATTTGAGTTGGGGATCTCTTCGCGCTTTTTACTTCTTGTCAATTGAGAATTTATTGGAAGAAGTAAATTAATATTTCGATTCAATAAAAACGAAAACTTGTCGCAAAAATTCAGAACGTTGCGGTTGTTCACAATGTAACTTTTTAATAATATTTAATATATCTAAAATTAATCGGTTTAGCAAAGATTAGAGAAGTAATAATGTTAAACTCGGTTTAATGTTTACCGACTTCTTTATAACAGCTTGTGTAATCGATCGTTTCGTAAAAAAGAAACTTTGAAAACATAACTATTACAGCAAACACGAGAAATGTATTCTTCCATGAGTAAAACCTCAGATCATAAAACGAACCGTTTGCATATTTCCTTTTTTATTAGATGTTCCGGAATCGTTGAATCCGTCTGATATACGAGACATCAGGTTTCCACTGTTTGCTTACTCGTCGAAAAGATCAATATTTTGAATGAGAGCTCGCGGTACGATATATTTTCTTTTATCCTTTAGATAGTATAGGCGTATATACATGCTATGTTAAAAAGAAACATATCTTGATCGTTGAAATACATAGAAATATACAAATTAGCAAGAAATGCATTTTAATTCTCTCTGGTAGAGACAGAATCGTGTGGAATAGTTGAATTGCTGGACACGTATAAGGTGTATAATTTAGAGAGATATGTGTTTTAATCTTTAAAAGAGAGTACAAAAAACTGATATTTTAGTTATATGGAAATATGTAAATTATCCAAAAATATAATTTTAGTTTGTATAATTTAATACATAAAATAAATTTAAGTAATAGAGAGACTTCTAAAGATTATTAAGATATAAAAATGTATAATATCTGTGAAAAATTTCCAAAATATTTTGTGAGGAGAGTATTATAAATACTCCAAAAGAATATTTTTTATTATTTAAAAAAAATTTTGTTTTTATATTTAAAAGAGACTTTGTGCATTTTGAATTGTATTATATTAAGAAATAAATGTGCTTCTGTATTTTCTCTCGGGCAATAGAAATATTATAAATCACCAGACAAGATTCCGCTTGAATGTTACACAATGTCATGATTATTCATTCGCATGTAATATAGTCAGCTATATTTTAAACTTGACGTTCAATGCAACTTGTTAGGAGCGAGAGCGGAGAATACGACGATAGTGTTCCAATAAGTTTTCAACGCGAAATTGAAATCCTGCGAGCTGCGAGCGTAAACTCGTTACTTATTCGTCCGGAAGCGCTGTAACAGCGTTGCGAAACTCTCGGTCGGAATGGCATGGCGCGCTATATCCTCGATCGTTTAGCATGAGAGCGCGTGTTGGGCCCTATCGCGCTCATTTCCCTCGTGGCCCGAAACTTAGGACCGATGCATCGACATGTTACATACCGTTTATCCTTTAATTTATGTTCTGGTGTCGTGTTCGTTTACCGAAATCGCGTACGGAGAGACGCATGCAAATAGAACCAGTGCGATTTGTTTGACTCTAATGTTATCATGCATTTTTCTTTTCAAGCTTTTAAAATTTTCTTTCGTATGTTTTTATAAATACTTTTTAAAATATACAATATTTTTTTTAATTTGTTAAGTATTTTACATTTATATGTTGAGGGATTCAAGAAGAAAATATAAAATACGTTTGGATTTGAAAATTATATGCATTTTTCAAAGAATAATTTAACATTATATTTCAAAAATTTTCTGTTACACAATTTAACAGTTTAACATTTAAAAAAATAAAATTCTGTGAAATTAAATATATACATATACATATATATATACATATATAATATCCTGATCTAGAAATAAGAACTACTTTCTATCGTATATTTTGTATCGTATAATTGTGTTGAGATATTTTTGTATTAACGATAAAGAAAACTAGAGAACACAAACAAGATTAATGTTTGACTGTGGTTGAGTTCGTAAACATGATTGATTTATTCCAAAAGAAAAAAAAATAGGAAAAATGTAAATATGCAAAATTTCTTGTTTTATCGTTGATCTTTTTAATCTCTCCTATGTTCACAAAGTTATGGATCGCGTTGCAAGAAGAATAGAGAAAGAAAGAGAATCACGCGTCTCCGTTTTATATTATTAACAGAAACATTCTTCGCCGATGGCACGTGACCAGCATGATACCTAGTTGCACGTACATTTCCTTCCAGATGCATTATGGAACTGAAGTATTCCGTACTTTGTTAACGATCTTTTTTTTCGGTATCTTAAATCACTAAAGATTTTGCTTAGAGTAATTACAGCAGCAAATTAATTCTAGTACACTTCGGACAATCGGAAATTGCAGTATCTTAACAATTAATTTGCTATTATAATATACACCAGTTTTTAATAAATAAAACATTATTAATCCAGTAAAATATAGCGCTACTGTCTAGACAACTTAAAATCTCCTAGTGTCACTAGTGTGCGTTTCAGTGCACCAGCAGTGCATCATGCCACAGTGATGCATGCGTAAATTCGATCCGGCCTGTGTGGAACAAGAGACGGTGCCACAAAGGCTCGTGAAATTCAAAATTGCGAACGAGATTCCCTTTTCCTCCACTTCTGTCTCCCCCTTGACGTGTAATATCGTGCTCGTAAATAGGTATCAGGTTTACGTTGGGCTTTAAACTAAAGTTACGGACGGTTGAGAGAATTGCCGGTATTACATTTTTATGAGAACCCGATTGTTCAAAAAAAAGGTTGTCCTTTTTATATATAAATAGCACGTCTTCTAAAGAATAAATCAGATCGACAAATAGTGACGAGGGTTAACAGTCGCGCCTATATTTTTCAGTCGTGTCCACGGCACGATAAATTCTTTCCGGGAGACATTCGTAAAGAGATTGGACGCGTACAATGACGCACGATAAATCTTCATTTTGCGAAATGCAATATTATTGGCTTTTCTCAATGGTAGACTATTAAATAAATCCCTTCGAGCTATTGTATCGACATATTGTGAGATTATGGGAAACGATTCTTGCTTGATTAAATACTTACGCGTATTACTTTACTTATTTTATAAAGTTCGAATTATAAAGATATAAGAATGCTCTGAAGAAATAGTTCGGTCTATAATATTTTAATGATGAGAATATCAGGAATATTTCTTTTAGTTAATATTTTTAATTTTATATAATTAGTCAATTTTTTCTACAGATATGTAGTTTTATAAAATTTAAACAAACGTAAACATAAAAAATTAGTATGTAACATATACGTAATAATATTGAAAATATTAATAATTTATGTTTTCTATTAAACTTTTATTTGAGATTGTTATCAATGTTTATTTGATCCGATCTGAACATGAAATTACAAAGATTCGTGAAATTTAAAATTGCAAACAAATCGATACTATAATTAGAAAATATTAATTCATATTTTGAAAAGTTATTTATTTAACATTCGATTAAATCAATTATAAATACATGTGGCAACATTAAATGCTTCAAAATAGTACTCGAGTCGCAAATATTATTTTTTCCGGTCATAAACCGCATCAAACCTGATGTCATTGTATAAACGATCATTGTATAGACTATAGACAATGAACACGTGGTACATATGCTTTTTTGTAATCGGGAAAAACGATTGCAATTTCATATCGCGTAGTCGGAATCTCGTTTATCTTTTGCGACGGGTTTTATACACCCGTGCGGAAAACAGGGACTATATTTACACGGTGGAATAAAAGAAATTGTGTGACTGGCACGAATAACTATATATGTAGATGTTTGCGTATACGTGCACGCGTACATATATATTCATTGCACGTATGTGTTACAGAAAATAATATAACGAAATATTTTGCAATTGGATTCTAGGTGGGACCGAAGGAACGAGCATCTTATTCTGAAGGGAACAACGGGAGAAGGAACTATGGGAAAAGGGGACAAGAGAGGCGTTACGCAGCGCAGTGATGGCGGTGAGTTTGTTTTACCAATTTTAAGCGTAAAGAGAAATGCCAAGTAGTAATACATGCCAAATAAATTAAATATATTTGTTGATATCCGTAATATCAAGATTATTGGCAAGCAGTGATTTTAAACTTTAACTTTTTATTAAATAAAAAAAGAGCATTAGTAACATAAAATTTCGAAAAAAAATGAAAAAATTGTCTAGCTTTTACGTTCTTTGAAAGATAGAAACAAAAGCAAAAATATTTACAGAAACGTTTGTATTTTTAAACTTCTCTAGATGACAAAAATTGATGGTATGTGTTACAACCGCGCTACTTTCTTTGCGATTAGGATACTTTCTGTGATGAGATAAATATTTTTATCACAAAGACAATGTGATTTACGCAACGTGATTAAAACCCAATTTTCTTACTCTTTTGTTTGAAAATCATTTGCTTCGTCGCTTATTTTTGGTCGCGTTTTGCGACATCCACTTTACGTTCAAAATCGCGATCAAAGGAATCCCACAAACTGGAAACACGTTGCCACGCACGTAGAACGACCAGAGAACGTTTTGCCTGTCGATCGAGCTAGGCAAAAGTGACATTTGGACGATCGGAATTTCGATACGCGAATATCGTGTCTCGTATGTTATCGCTGTTATCTCGGGAAAGGAATAGCACGTATTTGTATATGTGTGGCGGAGGAATTGAATCGAAGGAGGAACAGGGTGGAAAGACCATGCCGCGTACATTTGCGCTTCCACCCTTATTTTCCACTTCCTCGATACAAGGTAGATATATGTCGGCGCTGCATGCCGTTACCTGTCGTTGTTTGCTCGTTGCGACTACTCGCGTAAGAGATACCTCGATACCGCGCGAGAGTGCTTGCTTGCCCTCTCGACTGTGCACACACTCGCGACGTTGTTGTATCCCGGATTTCGGTACAGTCGTGTTTCCACTTCAACGCTGTTTGTTCCTTGATTTTGCGCGTAAACCATTTGTTGAAAGAATTTTAAAAACAAAATTTAACATGGAACATAATGCGGAGTAACGTAATATAAATTGAAGTAAATTTACATCTTTGAATGGCTTAACACATAAACATGGCTTAACATAAAAAATACATAATCATATGCTTTTGCTATTTTTGCTGGTCTTGGGCTATTTATTTTATTAGATATAGCTTAGCTTATAACGAGCGGTTGACTTTTTTAAAATATATAATCAATTAATTGTGAAGATGTTACTGATTAATTGATTAATCAGTATATTATAAAGAGTTAAAGATAATAGTGTAAATACAAATACAAGATCAAATGTTTAAATGTATTACGTAAAAAATGAATTTAATATTAAGCCGAGGATGTGTAAATTAATTTGCGATTATAATTTCGAACTTTATTAAGCGGTGTTATTAAGCTTGTTATGATAATATAATTTAAAAGCAGTGAATCTCTCACAGAAATACTTTAATCATGCAAATAGTCCTCCTAGATGCACACGTTCGCGAACAATGATGCATAGCTAATTTCGGCGTAGTTTTACACATGAAAGAATTTGGAACGTTTTCCGGCGCCGCTAGCTATTTGATTTTATTCGTATTCTTCGGATGAAAGAATAAGGTAGGTAATGCATGTCTCTGCATTCGTGAATCACAATGATAATATTCGCAAGAACAAAGTTCTGATTCCAGATATAGGTATCAATCGAAGTCAAATTATAATAATATCTTATTAGCAAATTAATCAATTAGATTAATCAATAATAATTAATCAAAATATATAAATATTTCATATTGATATGATCTCAGATATATTAATCAAAATCAAATTATATTATCTTATTAGCAAAGTAATTAGTTAGATTAAATAATAATTAATCAACATATATGAATATCCCATATTTAATATATTTCTCTACAAATATATATTACATACATTATTATATATATTTATATGAAAGAATTACTAGAAAATTTTAAACGTTTTATTGAAGACGTGTGAAATATTAATTTATAATAAGTTTTTCTTTAACATTGATTAAATTATTAAATAGCCATAGAAAGAAATGTAGTAATTTTCGATCCAGAGGGAACGATTTAGCTTAGATTGCTTTTAAGAACAACTTGCAATCTACAAAAATTCTAATCGCAAACATAGGACAGTCAAGAAAACTGTTTAAAACTCGACGCGTTAGGTGACTCTTTTAGACGAATAATACGAGTGATTCAACAAAAGCAACATGCTGACACAAAGGTGGCACGTATATTCGCGAATGGGCCGTTTGTCACTACAAGTGCACAGTTTTCCGGTGCAGAGCATCGCGCGAGTTATCTATTTGCGCGCGGATGCATCAGACCAACGACAGAACGTGCGCTCGCTTGTTGTCCGCCAAGTTGAGGCAAGAAGATGAGAGATGAGATCGTAACAGAAAAAAGAAAGTTTTTTCACGCCGTGAGCCTTGTTTTGGTGAAAAGAAACTGTTGCATCCACGTCGCTCAATTTGTTTGATTAATAAACAAAAGTAGTATGTTTTTCAGTCGTGGCACGCTGAAATAATTTTATACAATTTGATATCTATATCTCTCTTATATTTAATCTATTAATTTAATTTTATATTTTTATTTTGTAGTATTGTTTTATGGTTTAATATTACATTTTTAATGTGCAAGATGATCCATATTATGTCATAGTTTTATCAAAATTGTAGCGATATGATATCTCTAATCTTTAATAAATAATAAAAATACAATGCAATAATTGTAATTATATTTCACGCATTAACATAATGTTAAAAAAATTATACTAACATCAAAAAAGATATTCTTTGCGAATTAAATATTATAAGCTTTTGGTAAAAGCTCGATGTGTCTTTAATAAACGTTGTGAATCGCATTACATCGAGATAAGTCGAGTCTTATGAATTGCTTTATCTTATTGTGTTCCACAAAACAAACTAAAAGTCGAGAAAAAATGCAGGTGAATCGCAAAAGGATATAAAGATATAGCGCACGGCAAAGTGCATCTTATTGTTGGATATATATCGAGATACCATACTGAGAAAACAATATCCTTAGGGATGATCCTTGAGGATGTTGGATGCACGTCTGTTGCTGACACGCTGTCGACAGGCAACTCTGTCGACAGTCTGTTGTTAAGGGTTTATGTGTACGTGATGCTAGGAAACTTCAGACAGAAAATTTATCTCTATCTCGCGCGAGATGATCTGCACTGTGCATCTTTGACAAGTTGTTGTAATGTAATACGCCGCGTAACAACTTCATCTCTAACCTGAAACCTCGTATCTATATTTATTACAATCCAATATAGCAAGCTTTTATCTCTTCCGTGAAGATATTTGTATTAGCTGTTAATCCGCGACAGCTTATATCTGCTCTCTGTCGTTTTTTTTTATTAAATATAATTTATTGAGTTTTTAGATGTCGTCTTTTGATTAGCACAATGCTAAAGAAATATCCACACACTCCGCGTGTGAAAGATATGGAAAGATAATAGAGCGTGACAGTAACGCCGCGAAAACAAAAGACTATTTTTGTTGAAAATTTAACTTGGGAATGTTATGCATTCTAAAAATTATTTCATAATATATAATAACATACAATATACAAGTTTTGAAGTACAAGGAAGCCTGGACAGTGTTATATCATTATATTTGAGTGAATTGTACTGTCGAATTATGTAATGTTGCAGAAATTATCGTTTAGTGTTTGAATATGATGAAAAGACATATAATCCGTGGAAAAAAGAGCGAACTATATGTAGACAATACCCGTTTGCCTTGACCGCATTGTTCAATAGTTAGATACGCTACCATGATTAACATAATTCGCGCACGAGTGCTAAAAGAAGCGCGTGTCATCTATTACGCAACCGGTAAAATCCAAACTACTTGTACTCTTCGCTTTGCATTTCAATTAATTTCAATCTCTATTTTAATAAAATTTGTATTTTAACTATACTCGCTTGCGTTTATTAAAAATGCAACCCTGCAAGCAAATATATTATATTTTAATTAAAATGATTGGAATACGTTGTTTCCTTATTGAATGGACTCCGATCGAGCGCGTAAACGGTAAAAATGTTTATTAAAGTTTGACAAGCGTGCGCCCGATGCAAAGTGACGTTTCCAATTTTCGTCGGAGTAATTTTGTACCAAATGCATCGACGATTGCAACTAGCACGACACGCAATGCATTATACAAAGTGGTTGCTCGCGTCAATAGTCGGTTATTTGCTTTTGCCTTACCGCGTATCGAGACGCGAGGGATGTGAGGTGGCGCCTTTGGATTCACAATGCGATTGATTGGACGGGAAACGTTTGCTAGCTCTTAAGCGTTGAATGGCCTCGTTATCGGCCACGACCAAAACAACGAGAAAAAAGAAGTTGCGAGAAAGAGAGAAGACGATGGTGCAGATAAATGTAATGCAGGAAGGTTCGACTCGTCGGCGAATGTCATAGTCATAAGCGATTATCATAAATCCATGCGCGAGTCATCAATTATAAATCTTTCTTATTTGGATAATACTCCAAGCATCTTGCTTTCATAATTCGAAACGTTCGGTTTTTATAGTTCTTATAGTTCTCTTGTTATCAGCAAAAGATATTTTAATGATGCTTTGAGGAACTTAGGTGTAATCGATTTTTCTGTAACAAGATTCGCGGATTTATTATTTTCCTAATAACATTCACACACACCCACATTGCAGCATTCTGATTTTAATGTTATATCTTTAATTATGATTGAATCTATAAAATTTTGTTAAAATAATTTTGAATGATAAATAGACGTATAAAAAATTTGTCTATGTTTTTCAAAGCTTAATTCAAGCTAAAAAATAAATTACGATTGCACAAATATTTCGAATCACAGATATAAGATTTAAATTATAAATTTATTATCAATATTACAATATTTTATACATGTGATATATTTTTTATCACAATATTAGGCACTTATGTGTGAAGTACGATAACTATTTTAAAAAAATATACAAAAATAAATATGTAATTTTTTCATATTTTACGGTCGTTATGTAATTTAAAAGAGTGTACAGACACGTCAGTGTCACGGCGAGTTACCTACCACGAGTTGATCAAGTTTTGCATACGTAACGAAGTTTGATCGTTGCGCGAAGCGAAAACGCGGACAGGTGTTTTGGGTTATACAAGTATACAGATAACTCTTTATTACTTTCTTTGCGTACGGTACATATAAATATTCGTCCGGTTACAACACATTAGAGCCTACCTCCTATATCACATGTGGGAAAGCTGCAAAAATACAACTCGACTCGGCTACGTATAAAAGATTTACAATATTTCGCACGCTGTGTTTGCACACGCAAACATGACGGCGAAACGTGTCATAGGTTTTTCGTATATTTTTTTTTCTTCACAGAGCTGTACATACGTAACTTTACACGCGCTACGCGAGGTAGTGCTACGATGTTGGCTACCGATCAATATTAAAGACTAATCGATTATTATTCTACAAAACACGTTTTATTGATCTTCGACGTTGCTTAAGACAAATACTGCTTGCTACATTTTAAAAGTTCAAACTTTTAAACGTCTTTTAAACTATTGTTAATTACTAGTCACACTATATAAGTCTGTCTAATGCGCACTATTGTTGAAATAAGCGAATAAAAAAATATCGTTTTAATTCGCAATTATTATAAAATAATATATAATTTTCATTATATAATATACGATAGCTCAACACATCAAAGATAGCGTAAGGTAGAGTTTTATATATTTGACTTGTTAATTACTCTCACCTCTGATTTAAACTAACTTTCTTCGAAATATAGTCTTACATATCGTTTATTTTCTTTCTGTATAGAGAAGATAGAGTTATACAAATATTCGGAAATTGAAAATAATTGTGTTGTTGGATGTAAAAAATTAATGCATTTTAACATTTAAAATTTTTAAGGCACTTTTGTATTTTTCTATTTTCTCTCTCTCTCTCTCTCTCTCTTTCTCTCTCTCTAATATTTATAAATATAAATGTTTTTCAGCACATTTATATTTTATGTCAAATACAGAAAAATATATTTTAATATTAATTTAAAACGTTATTATTAATATTTCAACAATTTTAACATATATTCAATTTGATTTAATTATCTTTTATTTTTTATTGAGTTTTTGTCATAAAAACACTGAATTTCTGAGGTTGTAATATTATTTATTCATGATATTTTCTCATGATAGTCAATATTTATTCATGATAGTTTCTTACTTAATTTCAGTTTATTAAAAATTTGGATCATTAAAACTATCATTGATATCGCAACAAGTAAAAACATCAAGATCTTACGTTCTGCAAATATTTAAGTCTACTTACTGAGCTCTTCTGTCTAGCGACACAAATATTTGTACGGAGCCAGTAGAAAAGTCACACATGCACAAATTGATTTGAAGTACAGTAACTCGAAACTTTTCGTGAGAGAGAGAAAGAGAGAGAGAGAGAGAGAGAGAGAGAGAGAGAGAGAGAGAGAGAGA